GAAATCTGTTTTATTTTTAAATAGTGACAACTGATTTTATAAGTTACATGTTTCAATAAATGTTTTAAAATTTCCGCTATTTTTACAGTGGGTCGCTCCGGTGGCCCTAATGTGACTTCCCGGATCGGATCGGGCTACCCGCATCGGTCTAGGGGTTACATTTAGTGGTATCAGAGCTATGGTTTGAGTCAAAAATTTCAAGTTAGACCGGCCGGTCGAATGTCAAAATATTTCTGATCAGTACATGCCTCTAGATTGCAATCGTACCTCTCTAAGCCGGAACTCCAGAGCTGAGTCCCTATCTGTAACGAGTAAACCAAAGTTTCTATTTGTTAAGGCTATACTTGTAAAAAAAGAACATCAGTAACATCTGTCTAAACGTTGTAAAGTACCTCACGAGCTATGTGAGAGTTATTCATCTGAGAAATTCTGACCCGACTCTAAAAATGAAATTGGGATATGCTGCTGCTCTATGAGCCTATTCACGTAACCAAGGCTGAATTGATTTCACAAGGATAAAGTTGTTTTGATTATTTACTTAGACTGAGGGAGAATTCTGATGAGATTGATTACTCGAGGAAATTTTCGTTCGGATTCTTTTATTGAAATGAGAGAGAGTTTTGATAAGAATGTATACTCAACTGGTTAAGGATTAGTGGAGAATCCGTATTTCTATAAAAGCTACTCGAAGATATGGAAGAGTTGATGGAAGTTTCATTTATGCAATTATGTGACATGAATGAATTTCGAGGACGAAATTCTTTTAAGGAGGGGAGAATTGTAACACCCCAATTTAGGGGCTAAATTTAAGAAATTATAAAATGGTGAATTTAATTGGTATTTGGAAGAAATTTGGGGATTAAATTGTAAGATTTCAAAGATGGCAGACCGTTTTAAGAAGTGCATGAAGTTCAGTGGCCAAACTCTTGGTTTAGCCATTTTTAATTATGAGATGTTATAAACCCCAGACTCCCGTATGTTTCTGGAAAATTTTCCAGTTTTCCTCTCCCGTTCTCCCTACTTCGAACTCTGATCTACTCGCCGTCCGACCTCCAAACGACGAGCCAAAACCACCATCGTGTTCGTTGTCAACCGATGAACAAAACCCCTCAAACCTTTCGTCGTGAATCATCACCGTTCGTCGTGAATTTCAGTCAGAAGTATCGTCGGTAATAACTCGGTTTTAGTTGGTTTTTCATCGATTCACGACGATCGGGTCATCCGTTTACGACGCCTCCCGCACCATCGTGTTCGTTGCATCGTTCCGAGTTTGCCGGTGTCATCCTTGGTCTCCGTCCACGGCGGCGCGTGAGGAGGTGAAGCGGTCAAAGTTTCCGATTCGTTGAAATCGAGCTCTCCGCCGTTCAAAATTGTGAACCGAGCTTTGTAAGTATCTCGAAATCGCTCAAAATAATTTTTAGAAATTTTTCTGGGATTTTAGCACTGTTCACGCGCCCCCACGCGCCGCCACTGCGCGTGGGGATGGAAAAAGTGACCGGTTTGACCGGTTTTGGAACTGTTTTGACCGGTTTGACCGGTCACGACCCGACCCGACCCGTTGACCCGACCCGACCCGTTTACTCGACCCATTGACTCGACCCGTTGACCCGTTGACCGTTGACCGGCGTTGACCACTGTTGACCAAAACTTTGACCGGCTTTGATCGGGCATTAAACGACCTTTGACTTCAACCGAGTATACCTATCCTGACATTTGTCGACGTTCCAAATCTGATTCCGTTGTCCGCTTTTCGAAATTCAAACCCGAAGGTCTTGAAATTGCCGGTCAAACCCATTGACTTTGATTTTGACCGAAAATTCCAAATTTCTGAAAAGTCATATTTTATGCTTTCGACGTCCTGAATCCGAATCCGAAGTCCGTTTCGCCAAATTCGAACCCGGTAAGCCGTCTTTCACTAATTTATCACCCTATTCGATCCGTTTATCGTATTTAAGCTCCGTTTCTGATATAATTTATGTTGATATGTATTTGAGGAATTATTGGAAGTTGAATTGAAGATCAAAGACGTTCGAATGGAATTTTTATGGTCGATCAATAGTGCACGGAAATTGAGGTAATACTTTACTACCTCTTTATGCTTTATGGAACATGTTGGTATTGATAAATGCATGAATGGAAATGTTTGGTCTCATATGTGTAATTAATGAAGATCTACACTAGGTACGAATACGGTAGAAAGTAGATAACTGAATATGGCTCAGATGACTATTATAAGAAATTGGAGGACGGTTTGAATTAAATTACAAGTTCTGGAATTAAGTAATAAAAGAATTAACCATGGATTGTAGATTATAATTTATCTCATTAAAGGTACTTAGATGATAAATTAAGAGAATATTTCGATTAGGGAAAATTACGAAATTACCCTTATGTTGGAAAATGATAAGAATTGTCTCTGGAAGTGGATTAATAAATCTGAAAAGAATTATTGATCTGCTAAAACTATTGATGTGCATAAGAAATGTTAGTTTTACTTGGAAATTATGGAGAACCGGTTTTTAACCCCAAGAAGGTTTATGCAAGATACTAGAAGTGTGTTAAGGGAATTATTTCAAGATCAGAGATTGTTCAAGAAAGCAATTAATCATAGGATCTCTAAATTATATTATTTTCGTTAAGAGCTAATATCGAACTTATCTGGCTAAGAAATTACGGAAATGCCTTAAGAGGTAGAATAGTCTGAGATGACTCTGAATGAGAAAATACTTAGAGGATTCGTACTTAACTCGAATAAGTACGGATTTAATTGTTAAGATCCCGACTTAGTGCAGGAAAATTTATGATATTCAGTTTGTAAAGTCTGAGAAGACACTTGACCTGAAAATATTCGAATAATGAGTAAATACTGGAAGAGTAATTTATCGGGGGTATTCTGCTGTCAGAATTGTTCGAAAGGACTGAAGTAAATGATAAGATTGAATTAAATAATAAGATCGGATGGAAGGAAAAGATTGAAATACCGTAGATCTATAAAATGACCAAAATACCCCTGTAATGGAAATGACCCAAGAATATCACCAAGCTCAGGAATGATTGAATATCCTCGAGTTCTGAAATGAATGGAATAAAACTGAACATCAAAATTACCAAAATAACCTTATGGCCTAAATTAAGTAAATGTCTTGGATTAATTAAGGAATCCAAGTAAGCATAGGTATTGGACTACCTTTAAAGGTAATGGAAAATAATTTAAGTGAGTAGATCAACCCTAAAGCTATGTCAATACCTGAATGGCATAGATATTACTGGAACATATGTTCGTCTTCTCAAGTTTGGCTCGATGATGAATCTTGGAAGTATTCAGTTCAGCTCAAATCTAGATCGTATTCAGTACTAAGAATTGGACGTTTGTTCAACAATCAACCACGAAGACCAAATTGAATGGGATGGAAGTACAACATGTATCTGAAATTCAGGAACGTTTGAATTACTCTGGAAAATTCTGAAGTAACTGGAATGGAGATGACTGCTAAATGAAATAGGTAACCTCAATGACTGAGGATTTAGTAAGTGATTTGGATAAGTCTGGAAACTCTGATTAGTTTACGTAGTGTACAATTACAATGGGTTATGAACAAATTAATCAAGTACGTCAACATTTCATGATATTGTGGAAGCGTGGAAATGAAATAAAGTCATTGGAAGATTTATTCAGCGATAATTCCGAAAATGGTCTACGGACAAGAATTTGTGGTATTAAAGAGTAAATACCCTAGAAGGAAAATGAATTGACCAGTCGACATAGATTGTTAAGGTTCTGAATCTTCGTTCTCAAGTTGTTCGATTATCCGATCAATCGACATGGATGTAAAGGATTCTGAATACCCTTCTGATTACGTACAGCTTCTGAAAACTGTCCGAATAAGATAATATCCTGATAATTCACATTCTGAATAATTGATGATTCTGTCAGTTAATGAACTCTTTCAAATAGTGATTCTAAATTCTGATATCCTATCGGTATACTGAATATTCATGTTTCTCTACCTGTTAAGATTATCCAATACCTCTGAATAATATCTGTAAACTCTGGTGTGTTCCCTAATCATATAAATATTTTATCTGATTTCCGACTTGAATTCTGTTATGATCCTGACCTGGATTCTGATCTGATATTGACATGGATTCTGATTTGATACATGACCTGGATTCTGATATGATACTTGACTTGAATTATGTTTTGAATTTTGATATATCCGTTTACGAACGGAACATGTTTTATTGGGGGGTATTGTTGGAGGGAGATTACTTGGAGGTTCCTCAGCTGTGTGCTCAGGGCCTTACTTACCGGTTCCTCGGCTGTGTGCTCAGGGCCTTACTGTTAGTGACGGGGTTGTATGGTTCTGGGGAACCTACACATTTTGTTCGTGACGGATGGGGGTATATATATATATATGTTTTAAAAAGATCTGAAAAGTTACATGGTTTTTTTTGGAACACACTAGAAAACCTATTCTGATCTCCTGAACTCAGTCATCCGAAATATTTCTCTGAAACGAAAGCTCATTATCCGTTACCACCTGAAATATCAGTAGGATCTCTGCTCAACATAAAAATCTGTAAATATCTGAACCAATAAGGAAAATATGTTTATCTGTATCTGCACGTTTTTCAGCATCATCTGGTAGTTCTGTATTACTGAGCTTTCCAAAGCTCACTCTATTACTCACCTTTTCAGGTTAAAAGAATTGTACCAGTGCATCTATCGACTTCAGTAAGGGAGTTCTTCCGGTGTTGTTGCAGAGTATGGTACATGTGATTAGGGGGCATGTAATTGTATTTTGATTTATATACGAGTCTGGAAATCTGTTTTATTTTTAAATAGTGACAACTGATTTTATAAGTTATATGTTTCAATAAAAGTTTTAAAATTTCCGCTATTTTTACAGTGGGTCGCTCCGGTGGCCCTAATGTGACTTCTCGGATCGGATCGGGCTACCCGCATCGTTTTAGGGGTTACAAAAATTCATGTTTTGAATCGAAGAGGAGAAAGGGGGGAAAGGGTATAGATTATAATTAATTTTTAATGTTTTCTTTTGTAATATTGTTTCTGTTTGTTGGGATCTGCTTTTTAGATCTTTGACATTCTCTCCTTTTGGTTTTTACTGCAGCTTTTTTCGTGTATTTGGAGTTAAATAAATCTTAGATTTTTCTGATAAACAATTATAGTGGACTAGATCTGGTTAAAGTTGAAAAAAACACACGGGAAAAGGGTTTGTTTTGGGGGTTTTGAATCAGCTTTAAACTTTTGAGTCATAATTAGTGGTTGTGATAATCTTTTTTTAAAAGTTCAAAACTTCTCTGTCTTGTCTTTTTGTATGATGAGGACTGGCTAAAAGAAGAGTCCCCCATGAACTAAATGATTTTGGTTCATGGTGCAATTTCTTTGTGTGTATTGCTTTTTTTCACTTTATTGTTGTGTTTAATTGGGTATCATTAGCACTTTTTAGGGTTCTGTTTGTGGTCCATATACTTGGAATTTTCTTTGTTTTCTAAGCTAATGAAATGAGCTTGAATTGCATACATGGTTTGTTCTGATCTGGTTTATCACACCTTCAGCACTTTGTCTTAGCAAAATCTTGTTATTCTGTCCTTTTCAAGCGAATTCAAGTTTACTATGTTAATCACGTCATTTCATCCTTTTTGAGCAAATTTGTGTTTAATATACGAGGATTAATTGTTTTGATTGAATGTTTTAATGTACTTGCAGGTACTGAACAAGTGCTATGACATTCACTCTTGGCTTACATAAAACCTTTGGTGAACAAAGAAAATTCTCTGGATTTGAATGGACTAAAAAGAAGAGGGAACTGTGAAGGAAGACCGGAATTGTGTCGTACACGTTAAAGACATTCTATTGTTCTATGAGGGAAACTGAATATGGATTCGTTTCAGGACTCAGTTTTTTATTTGGATAAAAGCTTGATGGGGTGTAATTTGCCAGAATTGGTAGTTTGTTATAAGGAGAATGGATATCATGTTATCAAAGATATTTATTATAAGGACAAGTTCTTGTTCGACAGTGGCACAGATGAGAGGTTTCTGCCTTCTGAAAAGGATCTAGATGCTAAACTAATGAAAGAGAAGCTGGAAATGGATATGTCCATAAACAATGTTCTGCACTTCCGGAAGAAAATCAACCTGGCAAGGATATCGACAATGAATGGGGTTCGAAGAAAAAACTTGATGCTGATACATGTATACAGGATGTTTCCTTACTAGAAGAAAATACCGAGTCTAATGAGGGGCTTCCGAATCAGTGTGATTCTAAGGATTTGATTTTGTCAAGGGAAATGAAGCATGATGCGATGATGCAAGTGAGTACGGATGATGTCTCCAAAGAGTTGTGTGCCCTTGGACTGGGAGAGTTAACTATGTTGGAAATGAACTCGGTGAAAACTGAATCCGTGTGTTCCGACTGCAAAAGTGATGGAACTGAACAACAGTCATTTCAGGTAAACTTGTCTTGGTAAAAGTTGCTAAAATGTCAATGTTTTATTATACCGAAATAAGATGGTTTACATATTTGGAAGTACCATGATATGTTTTTTATTTTGTATGTAGAACTCTAGCGGAAAGGTAGTCACGGGGACACCGCCTTTGGTTTCTGCAGTTGAAGAATCAAACAATAGCAGTGAGGAGGCGATTCTATCAGCTTCTGCTTTGGTTTCTGCAGCTGAAGAATCTGACCCTGGGAAAGGGGAAGCTACTTTGATCAGTTCCATCCCGGCCTCCATTTCCGAGGAATCAAGCAGCAGCTGCATTGCTAATGAGGTATCCAATGATCGCAGACTGGAGGGTGGAAGGATCACGAGTCACTTTGACTCTTCTGCTCCAACCAACTGCAAAGACGAGTGTCGCCACGTTCTTGATAGTGAATCGAAGCCTGAAGATAGAGTTGATCAACCTTTTTCGAACAATCTTCAACGGGGAAATGGAGAGTCTAGTTTCTCTCTTGCAGGGCCCGTAACCGGTCTTATAACTTACTCCGGACCAATAGCATATTCAGGCAATCTCTCCCTCAGATCAGATGCAGTACAGCAAGCACTCGTTCTTTTGCCTTCCCTATGTAATTTTTACCAGCAAACTATCCATTTCTTGCACTTTACTTCTCCTTTGCATACAATTCATAATTAATCATTAGTTGCTTGCTTGTTCATTCCTGCAGATTGCAGACTGAATGGGATGCAAGTCCGGTAAGAATGGCTAAAGCCGACAGGAGACGTTACGGGAAGCATCGGTGTTGGAGGCAGGGCATCCTTTGTTGTAGGTTCTGAAAAGTTCTATTCAAATCATAGATTATACAAATCTATTATTCTTAACAAGTTACATAGATCAAGATCATCTTATTTTCTCTCACACCGAGTAATGCCCAGTTGTTTAAGATGGTATGATGCTTGGAGTTTCGATCTCATTCACGTAACTTGAGCTGTAAGCTATGCCCTAGAGTTTTCTCATATATTTGTAGCTTTTGTTTTTGGTTTCACTTTCTTTGCTAATAATGTCATGTTCAGTTCTATCAGATAAAGGTCATAATTTTTAATCTTTTTTTCCAGCCATTTACCCAGATTTTTCTTGTTCATAAAATCTCAGCTCATATGCTATATCAATTCGGCTACAAGAAAAAAATTTGCTTTGTTCGTGTTATAGAATTGAAACTCAAGTGACATGAGATAATGCGGGGATGTCTAAGGAAGAACATCCTAATATAAGGCTAAGAAAAGGCGTTACCAAAAAATGTTAATATTTTTTAACATTTCCGGTATAGCACTACCTAAAATGTTATTTTTTATCGAAAATATTAATATTGATCGCTACCTAAAATATTTTTTTACCGAAAATGTTAATATCGGAAATATTCATTTTAGGTAGCGAAATTAACATTTTCAGTAAAAAAAATAATATTTTAGTGTTTTACCGGAGGTATTAAAAAATATTAATATTTTTGATAGTGTATTTCCTTAGTCTTATATAATGCTTGCAGTGTCATACTGTTTATTTCATGATATTTTGATCTTGCTTTTGCCCATTCAAGGGCTGGATTTGTAGTTAAATGTCAAGCTGCGATATGCTTGGAATTTATGTTGTGGGTATATATATAAAATAAAAAACGGAGAACTCGTATATAAAACAATACAGCTCTTTTATTTATTATCTATCATGTAAATATAAAAATTAATAATAATTTGAAACTAAAGATGTTAAAAGTTAGATGTTAATAAAAATAATAAATAGTATAATTCTATTCTTATGCCAAATAATTATTTGGTTTTTTGTTATTTTTGGACCCATTAAAATTTAAACATATAAAAGTCAATTAAACGATAAAATATCTCTGAAAGCAATAATAGTCTTATGCTCCATTATTACGTTCTATGCATATATGAACATTTCAAGAAAGTTGTATTTTGATAAGGAGGGTAAACAAAATCAGAAGTGAAGAAAAACGAATTTTTTTATCGATCTTTTTAATTTACTAGTTATGGATAAACTTATACTCTTTAAATATTTAAAATTTTACATTTTATTATATGTCTTGCTTAGATTATTCTTGTGATATTTTTAATTCAAGTTGTAGACACTAATTTTTCAGTTTACTTTTATTATTATTTATTATTATTATTATAAATATTATTATTGTTATTATTATTATTAAATAAAATAAATATTACAAATTACAATTAGACCCAAAAGGTCCAGATACAAATCTCTGAGCCCATTTACACCAGGAGGCCCAAAACCGGAACCTAGTTCAAGCCCAAACATGGAGGCCCAGTTCTGGCCCAATATTGGAACCCTAAACCAGATTAAGGTTTGTGCCTCATTCCAGCAGCCGCCTTGCTTCTCAGCCGTTGGATCTAACTTAGATCCAACGGTCCAGATGGTTCCAGCAGGAAACCCTAGGGTGATGATACCCTAGGGACACGTCCCAGCCGCCGCTGTAGCTTCCAGAAGACTACACGGCGCTGCTTCAGCTTCCAGCCGCCCCACGTCGACACTGTTGTTGCCACGACACCAGCCTCGCCGACACTCCAGAACGTCACGAAGCCACCCACGTTGAGCCCTATGGTGAGTCACCACCATAGCTATGGTGACTCACTGGTGACTCACCGGGCCTTTCATCCTTTGGACCGGTCTGAAGCCATCACCGGTGGTGGCTATAAAAGCCACCGTCCCCTGCAAAAAAAAAGAGCCACGGAGAGCAACGGAGAACAAGAGACTACAACAACGACGAACAAACAAAAAAGGAGAGAAAACAACAATAACCCAGCAACCTCAAATAGTAAGGAAAAGACAGAGAGAAGAAATACTTATCGAGGGAGCCTCGATCATCACCGGAAGCCAAAATAGCCAGGAAACAAGAAAATACCGAAGGTATTTTCTTAGATCTGCTCCAAACATGAGCTATTTAGGAGAAAGGAACACCGGAACCGTCATTAGGACGGTCCGATCTATACTTTGGTAGGAAAAAAAAAATTTCGGCCACCGGATGTGGTGGCCGGCAGTGGGATTTACGGCGGCAGACGACTGCCGGCTGATGATCGGCTTCCCTCTGGTGAGGGAAGCTAGAGAGAGGCGAGAGAATTCTTTTCTCTCTCAGTTAGAGAGAGAAGAGAAAGGAAAGAAATGAAGATGCTGGCCTTTCGGGCCAGCCGTTTGGGAATATATACCCCTTCCCAAACGACGTCGTTTAGGGGAAGGGTATATCCGTAATTTCCGTTTGGCTAAACCCTTTCCGCAGCCATCTTAATTTTGTAACATTCCATTTTAGTCACTAAAATAAAATTCTAAATATTTTAATTTGATCTTCTAATTTTGTTTATCTTATAATTTAATCACTAATCTGTTTATATAAATATTTTAGGAAAATTACGTATTTAGTCCGTTAATTTTAATAATTAATATTTTAATCCTGAGTACATATTTTTAATTTATTTTAATCTGATATTCGAATTTAATATAATTTTATTTTAGTCACCAAATTAATAAATGGATAAAATAACATGTTTAATCCCTGTAATTTTAAATAATTAATTATAAATTAAGTATTTAATTTTATTAGATTATAATTTAGTCACTAATTTTAAATATTTTCATTTATTATAAAGTTTTATTGCTCTAATTGTATTTTTTTATTTATGTTTTAATTTTACTTGTTTATATATTTAAATATTATTTTTATTATTATTATATAGTCATATAAATATATATATAATAAATAATAATTTATATTAAATCTTAATTTGATTTTACATAAATTATTTTTATCATAGTTTAATATTTATTTATTTTTCAATATCAAAGAAAATGGCAGTCTTAATACAACTGGATGTCCTATTCTGGTATTTTAAAATTAAATATTATAAAAAATTATAATTTATTTTTTAAATTATTATAATATTTATTAATATCAAAGAAAATAGCTGTCTTAAGGCACCTAGAAGTCCTTTTCTAATATTTCTAAATAAATAAATATTTTATTTATAAATATATATAAATTATTTTTTTCTCATAATTATAATTTTGAAATAATAGGATTATAAATTAAATATATTTTGAATTTTTAAATTTCTAATAATAGAGACAATTTATAATTAAAAAGTACCAATTTTGGGCGTTGTAGGGGTGCTAATCCTTCCCTAAACGTAACCGACCACGAATCCCTTTTTATTATTAAAAGAAAGAATTTTTGGTTATAAACGCAGATCAGTTCATCTTTTAACTAATGTTTTCTTAAAAACTCTGTTAAAAGATAATTTTTAGGTATTCGACCTACCTGACCCAAAAGGTCAATGGCGACTCCCAAATTATTTTCAAAACCATTTATTCACATCACTTTTCCTGCCAAATAAAAAATTTCATGCCCGGACGAAAACCGGTTACGACAGCTTGGCGACTCCGCTGGGGATGTGTCAAACTTTAAAATTAATTATAAATTGTCTCTATTAATTAGAAATTAAAAAATTCATTTATTTAATTTTTAATTCTTTTCTTTCAATTTTTTTATTACTTATTATTTTTATATTAATATTTTTTTTATTCAGGTATTAATTATTTTATTTGTTTGTTAGAGGTTTGAATATTTCTCCTCACACACAACACTTGCATAACATAAAGCTCTATAATTGAGTTTGTCCCTTTTAAGTGGGAGTGAAAGCGACGTCTTCGTGAGAATTTATTCTCCGTGTCAGACCTAGCAAGTAACTTTCGGGGTTCATATACTCTATGTCTTCGTGAGAATTTATTCTCCGTGTTAGTCATAGAGAAATGTATCCCCTCGAATTGAACTCAATCCATTTTAGTCTATAGTGGACTAGGATTGAGGGTTGGCAGCCTAAGGGGGCACTAACAAGGACAATTCGAGTACCTTTTCTCCTAGAACTGAAACTCTGCATATAATAAACCCTAGAAATTCACCTGATCTAAGACAGTACTGAACCTCTGTTCATAGGTGTATACAAAGGAGAAATAAGCTCTAGCTTTTAATTTATTTTATTTCATTTTCTTTTTCCTGAATAAATGCATGCGAACTAGAAATCATGCAGTTAGGTTAATTTTTTCCAAACAAAGCATGAAACTAGAAAGCATGAGGTTAAGATTTATACCTTGATAGATAGATTTTTTTATTAGTTGGTACTAACTATTCTATTTTTTCTTATTTTTTCATGCATGTTACATTGCTCTAATCTTTCATATTGATTTCTTTTGTTTACATTGCATTATCATGGCATAACCAGAAGGTGTTTACTTGAAAGACTGTTCATCATGTTGGAAAGAAATCGTAAATGGACAAAAAGTTTTATGATCAAACAAAATATGATGCGGCCAAAGAAAGACATCTTGAGGAAACTCCAAGGATAGAAGCAAGCAAAGCACACAGAGATCCTGTTATATTAATACCAAAAGTATTACACAAGGATCCTACCAGATTGATACCAAAAGCAGTCTATGGTAAGAACATCAGTCAGGGTATTCAAAGTAGTGGAGGTTTTTATGAAGCTCAAGCATGTTATATGAAGGACTTGAACGACCAAAACAAGAAATTAAGCACAGAAATGAAAACCATGCATGAAGATTTTCAGAAGATCAGTCAAACCTTTCAAAATGCTGGCCTAGGAAGTACCCCGGAAGAATGGATCACAGGGGTCACCAAGCTAAAAAAGAGCTGCAACATATATGAAGATCTTGTTCAAGAACTTCTTGGACAGAAAGGTTGTCTTACAAGGGAAAATGAGCAACTCCGAGAAGTGACACAGAAGATGAAGGAGAATGTCATGGAAGAAGTTGCAGTCCAGACAAGGAATATAAGCTGATAGACTAATTTGGCTTTGGAGAAATTAGGAATAAAATATATCCCTATATGTAAAGTTTTGTTTAATACACGGAGACTTTTGTGTTCAATGAAATCTGTTCTAAGATGATCACTCTTGAGTAACACCTTTTCATACATGCATTTTCAGTTTGCATCTTTGCATTTTTCATTTTTGCATTCATACTTTTATGTCTGCCTTTGAATTG